GGGTGCGGCGCATCTGATGCGGAGTAGGGGGCAGGGGCGCCGCTGGCGAACGGAGCCGAGGGGTGCTTACCTGAGAGCTTGAAGGGCTGGCTGTCCCCATCCTCCCCGCAGCCCGCGGGGAGGAGCGGCGCGGGGTTCGCGCGGGGCGCATGCTGGAGGGCGCCCGGGCGCTTTAACTTTATCAACATCAAGCTCCCAATAATTAGCTCCGGCTGGGGGAATTTGGGACCAATAAGAAACGTTAATCGGTCCTGACGTCAGAGACGTGCCAGTGTGGGGAGCAAACGTTTTCCATATCGATTGCTAATTATACCTGACATCCACCCTCAATAAACAATATCAGAGCTGTCACAACAAGACAAGGGGGGCTTTTTAACTTTATCAACATCAAGCTCCCAATAATTAGCTCCGGCTGGGGGAATTTGGGACCAATAAGAAACGTTAATCGGTCCTGACGTCAGAGACGTGCCAGTGTGGGGAGCAAACGTTTTCCATATCGATTGCTAATTATACCTGACATCCACCCTCAATAAACAATATCAGAGCTGTCACAACAAGACAAGGGGGGCTTGGATAAGAACTCCAGCCCGAGCAGGGGAGGAGGGCAGCATGGGCCAGGCAACCAGGGGTGGGGGTGCAGAGGAGATGGATAACTTATGGATCTGATTGATACCCCGTTAAATACTAAAAAGCCAGAGTTACACACACCCTCTCAGTCCTCCCCCCCCCCATGCCCACCCTTTCCCCTCCCCTCTCCAAATCACTAATAGATTTCCCTTTAAAACATTCACCGGCGTGTTGTGGGGATTTTTCACCAGAAAGGCTCTACTCTCTGAACCTTTAAAGTGATGTTGCTCCAATTACAGGGAGACATTGAGCGGCAAATAGACTGATCCAATAATAGGAGATTCATCATCCTCTCTTTCCAGAGCTGTCACATTGAATTTAAAACTACAAGCCTTTTCATCTCCTCTCCGGCTCTATAACGGGGGGTGGAGGAGAGGGAAAGGGAGGGAAATAAATAAAAAAGAAGAAGAGCCTTTTACAGAAATTAAAGTGTGAGCTGATCATATCAATCAAAATAATAATTAATGCAATATCCTATTGATCCACGAACGCAAGAAATATTAAATTATGAACATAGCCAGAGGGTGGCTAATTAAATGCAGTGTATTTCGCAAAGGGAGGCCAACAAAGTTAAAAACCACCCTTACACCTTCTCCTTAAAGCAGGAGAAAGAAGAACTATACACACACATTTACTCTGCCAATGATTAATAGCCTCGAAGCTGCGGCCAAATTTGTTCTAATTAAATTATATTCCCATAGAAGTTTCACCAATATAAAATATTGATAAACTCCAAAAGTTAAATAATTAAAGAAAATATTCTTAAATAAACTACAGGAATGGGATTATGGCAGGAAGAAGCAGCAGAAAAACACACACACACTTCGGAGTGGATCCTATTTTTTTCCAGTGGCATTCATTAGTGATTCAACATAACAGAAATATAATTAAGAAACACTTTTCTAGTCTTCTCCAAGCAGTAAAAGGAGGAGTTTGGGGAAGCAGATACAAATATATTCACTCACTCGTCCCAAATCTTGCTAGGTGCAGGCGAATGGACTCAGCTTGGTCGGACTGGGATGCTTTTGTTCGATTTCTCTGCCATAAATAATGAAAGTTATGATTGCCAAACAAACACGAGGGATAACTAGAATGGATGGAGGCGGAAAGAGATAGAAGACTTCCAGGCAGCATCTATTTTCTATACTAACTGCAATGTTGTGTAATAGGAACTGGAACTTGTTTTACTCCGGGTTTCTAGAATATTTATCTCTATTATCTGAAGGGCTTAAACTGAATTTTGTTTCTTCTTTAAGTGACTTATATTCCTTTACATTCCCGCAGCGAAACCCCACAGACGAAAAAGGGGGGCGGGAGGGAGAGGGAATATAAAACTAAAAACTAAGCAGCAAGTCTGAAGATAAAGGGAAACCCTTAAACCTTTCTGGGAGGTTCATGCAGAATTAAATCCTTCAAGTCTGGGGGGAAAAAAAGAGAGAGAACACGAACACTTTATCTCTGGAAAACATACAAATAGATTTTCCAGTTATAAAATATCCAGTCAAAATGATACATTTCACAGGGTTTGTGTGCTTGAGAGAGACAGAAACAAATTGAAATAAAAAAGAAAGTGAAGTCTCTAATCTATGCTGTCTGTCTGGAGCAGTATTTATTCACCTAATTGAATATCACACAATATCCTGCTGTACCCCCCGCCCCTGCAATATAGATTAGTTTAATTATTGTCTCCCTGCCTCTGTTTAAAGCTAAAAGGTAGTTTGAATTTGGACTACACAGCTCCAACAGTAATAAGAAAATGATGGGGTTTGTATTAATTCTGGGGTCAAGGGCCAAGGGCTTCACTTTTCACCATAATTTAATTTCTTTCTCTATAAATACTAAATGTAAACTGTGTCCACTGGACCAAATTTTGCCTGTAGCAATAAATGCCTCATTTTCTGTCGGATTTCAGGGGAGGAATGCAAGGGGAACGTGTTTCTGAATACAGAATGGTAATCAATCCAGCAAAGAATAAGAGAGGAGACTTTCTCTCTCTCTCTCTCTTTATTATAATGAATTAATTCGACTTTATTTATCCCATTTTCTGGAGCTGACAGAATGTTAATTTGAGTTGAAATTTCTCTCGCCTCTCACTCCCTGACCCCTGGCCTCCAGATTGGCGTGTTGTAATAACCTGAATCTTTCAACAGAAGCCCTGATAATTGTTACCTTATTAGCATGCAAATTGTTTAATTAATATTATTATGGAGAAGCATACAATCCGTCCGTCACTTGACCTCAAGTGCAAGTCCACGTAGCAACCGGCTCTGTGCATTTCAATGTGCACATTTAAAATCGACTTCTGTTTTAATGTTTCTAGGATCCTTGTCGAGCTTCTAAAAAAATCTCTCTTAAAGTGTTTGAGAGGAGGCTTTCATGGGGGTGGGAGGGAAGCTTTTGATGCGGCGAGGCCTTGATATCTCTTTATATTGCTCTCCATCTAAAACACAAATTATAGAAGTCGTTTTCTTCTCCTTTCTTTATTTTGAACATCAAAATTTAATAATTGCTTCCTTGTCAATTGCTGCTGCTTTGCAGCCAAACAGAGCTGCAGCAGCTCAATGAAAAGCAGCCCTTGACACGCAGTCCTGAGAGACGTTGCATTTAAATCCCTTTTTCTACAGCCGAGTGACATTGTCAGATGCTAGCTTTAATTAACTTGATAATAAGACGTACAAGACTCGCATTCAGGACGCCAGCTCGCCTCGCCTTGTTTCCCCTTTTATCACAATCTGGGTGTTTTATCTTACAGCTTCCTACTGGCTTTCACAGCCATATTTGCAGGAGAGCCTCGGAGTCAAAGAGGAAGAAATGGGACTGAAAAGGGCTAAGATTTCTGTCCCCCGCCAGCATGGGATAGGAGGGTGGAGGGAGAAGGCTGCAGCTTGCCAGCCCTGGACTCGGTGGGGTACCTGGGGCTTGGACCGTTGAACAGACAAAGGGGCTAGACAATCTTTTCTACACCAATCCGAGAGGTGTCTCCCAAAGGGGGCTTCTCTCCCTTGCCAGAACGCGCCCCCGGCACGGCCTCAGACAGGGGTGCCAGCGCTGTTAGAATGAAGGGAGTTACACCACTGGAGTTAGTGGGAGACCTTTCCAAGCAGGCGGGATGAAAGGTGCACTCGTCTCCACCTCTCTTTACACCAGCTTGGCCCCTCTCCCCGGGCCTGAGAAGGTTTGCAGCAGAAGTAGCTCCAGGGCGGTGCCTACTCTGCAGCCAGCTCGTTAGAACATCTCAGCCGAATCCTGCCTGCGACGCCCAGTCCAAAGGTTTGGCCCTTAAAACACCCTCAATGCCCCTTTCCCATGACTCGTTTCGTGCCCACCAGCTAGGACAATCCTCCCTCAGACACGGGAATTGGGGGATCCTGCCGCCTGCCCGGCCTTGAAGTGATTTCCAGTATCCAAGGTTTCCAGTTTGGTGCAATAGCTCTCAGCACCCCCCACTACACAAATTGTTCCCGCGCCTTGTAGGCAGGCAACATGGTGCGCCCAGTTAGTTTTCCGCCTTCCATTTATCCCTCTTTTGGCTTCAGAGTCTTGTGCTCTTCTGTACCAAAAGGCCCAGAACTCCCCGAGCCTCGCTCCCTTGACTGCAGCTCAACCCAGAATAGCCTCCAGATGCAAGCCAGGCTGAGTCTGTATCTGAAAGGGATCCCCAGCCTTGCTGTCTAAGGAAAGGGCAACCTGGCTCCACCAAGCTCATCGATCTAGAAGAGCAGGAGAAAACCCAAGTTTTGTTCAATGTCAGGCAGGCTGGACCAAGGGGCTATCCAGCCGTGGCTGATACCTTAGGGCTGCCCAGCCAACCTCCTGGAACTAGACGGTTCGCCCAGACCATCTCTCACCTCCCACTTAGTTGACAAGGTAGAAGCACAAAACCTTCAGCTCTACA